TCTGTAGGAGAGAAGGTCGTCCTCGAAGGATGAGCGTGAATCCCACAGATCCAGCATGTCTCGCACGGCTGTGTCGAACTGCTGGCGGAGATTCTCGAAGAAAGAGTCGTGGTGGAAATGACCCGTGAGGTGATGGCAGCATAACCTCGGTCAGCCTGGTTTTCAAGGAGGGAGATGCGTGTCTGTGGCTGATCACTGTTCGTGGCTGTTTTGCTTTCACTGGCAATTGCACTGTTGTGGGACGAAGACGTTTTGACTGTGTGGAAGGAACTGCTGGTCGTGAAGGCCTCGCTGCTTGCGCTGCTTGAGTTCTCCTCAACGTGAGAAGAGAAGTGCTTCTGAATTGGGGCCATTTTGCTCTTTCTGTATACAAATAGATCAAGAAGCTTTTGAAAACGGAGGATCGTTGATTCGCGGTGTGTTCACTGCAAGTGTTAGCGTAGAAGTAACTGGCGGGTTAGACGAACCGCCACCTTTTATGTGTCCCGACTTGGAGCGACGCCCACCGCCCAGGCATACCTGATGATGTCATGGCGCGTTCCTTTCCCTTCCTCGCACTGAGAACATTCTGGTTCAATCCTTATTCACTTTTCTGTGTATGGACTTGTGTTTGATATGGCGATGTTCATATTCCCAAAATGGTAAAATGGAGTTGCCATATGTCTGTAATGGACGCGTTAGTGACGGAATGCATATTATTATCATTGCTATTATTACTCTTATTATTATTATTATAATTATTATTGCTTTTTATTTTCGATCTGCGATATATTGTGTTAGATTTCGAATTTTCTACAAATAATATAGCTTCATCACAATTATCACATATTACCATCTATAAGTAAACCTTGTTCATTTGTACATTCAAGAGGTTATAGAATGCTATTCTTATGCAAGAAATACAGTTAAGAAATCGGATAATAGGCAGATTATCTCCACGTTTTCCTCCAAATCTCACAAATAAGTTGAAGAAATCTGATCCCGTTTGTTGTAGGATGAATCATCGTGAAGCACCAGTCGGATTCCTTCAGACCAAATATGGACGATGAGGTTTATTGTGATCCTTGATGCCTTATAAAAATGTTTACATGAAAATGGTCGTTATTTCACTCGATGCATGATTATGTTACACGATATGGAACCATAAGCACACACGCATATATATATGTATACACTACATACATGCATCCATGCAGTACTTATATGTGTATATATACATATATGCACGAGATGTATGCGTACATACACACACCACACATGCACACGCACGCACACACACCAGGCATGCATACGCACAGACACGCACAGACACACACACACACACACAAACATGTATATATCTTTATGCGTGTGTATGTGTGCGTGTCTATATGTATGCATGCATGAAAATGTGTAAATGCTTATATGTATATGTATATGAATGTAAATGTGTGTACACAATCACATAGACACACACATATATACCAAATATAATGCTTTGGCAGAGTGTATCTCATTTTCTTCGTTTGCTTTTGTATGCTTGCGCTGTTACACATATTGTAGCCTAATCTTGTATTGTATGAGGTCATCTTTGCCGCCACTGTGGATCAGCGGGACCGCACTGGCCTCCAAACCATGAACATAATTCATAAATGATCTTAATTATCTTTTGCGCTGAAAAGAGACAGCTATTATTTTTTTATGTTTCATTTCCTTCTCTTGTTAACAGACGCCAGACATATAGCAGAATATAATTGTAAAATAAGCAATAGGAAATGAGGAATCAAGGACTTCTGTCCTTATAGGCTAAATCCCTGCATTTATATTTAGAAATATATATACAGATATACGTTTGTGTGCATATACATGTGTGTGTGTGTGTGTATGTATATATTTACATATATATATATAGTATATATATATATATATATATATTATATATATATATATATATATATATATATATATATATATACACATATATTTGTGTGTGTGCTTCAATATACACATGTGTGTATGAATATATATGTTTATATACATATATATATATATATATATAATATATATACTAATATTATATATATATATATGTTGTGTGTGCATATTTATATATATATATATATATATATAGTATGTGTGTGTGTGTGTGCGTGTGTGTGTGGATGTGTGTGTGTGTGTTGTGTGTGCGCGCTAGTGCGTGTGTGTGTATATGCACATATGCAACATTCTAATGTGCTTGGAACTTCTGCGATTCTTGAATAATTATTTCCCTCATATTCAACAAGAACATTAACATTGTTCTGTGAATGTGAAGTCTAAACGTATCCACTGGGTTTTTGGTCATTACATCTTAAACGGACAATCACAACTTTTTTTTTTTCTTTCTTTTTTTGCTTTTAGCATTATCTGGAACTAGACAAGTGCTAAACTCTGCAGCTTTCTTTTTAAAAAATGAGGGTGCTGTTAGAAACTGCTATTTGTTTATTCAAGAACGTTCTTAAAGAGAATATATTTTATAATTGGTCTAGATCTGACATTAACTGATTTTTTTCTTATATTACGATATAACGACTGCCATTTGAAGCTCTCTTTTTATTTATTTATTATTTTATTGAAAAGGCAGAGAAAAATTGAACGAGTGAGAGGAAGTTCATATCATACGTTGAAGTTTATAATCCACAAGATGATAGAATGGGCACCTTGTGCATATCTAAGCTCTTGCTTCTATATGCCTGTCTGTCTGTTATCTATGGATTAGTCTTAACAAAATCTTTAAACAATAGATACATTTCATTACTTTTGTACTTCAAGATATGAATTGTGCTGAAGTGGTTAGTGTAGTGAAATAGCGAATGCGGTTTTTTTCATATTGACAGATATAAGAGAAGAATACAAATGTATCAAATAAAGTTTTCAGTTTTCTTAATTTCTGTCGTATAATTTACAGTATAAAAGAGAATCATGTGCTTATGCGAGGTATTTTTGTATTGTACGGTATATATGTATATCTATGCATGCTTCTGTAGCATGGCAACATGCCATGCACAAGAATGTAGCATGTGCATCTTTATGTAACTTTGGCAATGCGTATTCTGAGTATAAGAAATATCATCAGAAATACAAGTATAACGATAGAAAACCTTTCATAAAGGTTACATGCATATTATCATAGGTTATGTAAAATGCATTATAGACAAATATATTTTATTCATATGAAAATAGATCAGAAAAAATATATCGCAATTCAGGTCTATAAATAT